TACTTCTTGTAACGAAAGATGTGTCATCCGATTATGTCTATTAAACATGCCGCAGTTTGTAAATCGTGTTTCATCTGTCCACAAAACTTTAATCCAAGCTATGATCAGCTTCACACATGTTAATAAACCACGTACAATATTCTACATGCTTATTGTAGTCATCTGGGGGTAGTGTTTGTGAAACTGCCATTTCATATGAATGAAATCTATGCTTTTTTAGTTCTCTTACGACAGTAAATTTCATTCTTAACAATATTGCTCTGTTGCACTTTTGCTCTTAGATGCGTCAATAATGAGAAAAATACAGAAATATGAAAATTTAAGAAATTTCGTTGTTTGACAAGTTGTTAATAGTATCACTTGGGAATCGGAGCATGTTACTAAAAAACTTTTAGAACGAAAGATGTAGCAAATTTCATTCTTAACAATATTGCTCTCTTGCATTTTTGCTCTTAGATGCATCAATAGTGAGAAAAATATAAAAATATGAAAATTTTAGAAATTTCGTTGTTTAACAAGTTAATGGTATATCATTTGGGAATTGGAGTATGCTACAAAAAAACTTGTAGAACAAACTTTGTAGCAAATTTCATTCTTTACAATATTGCTCTCTTGTATTTTTGCACTTAGATGCGTCAATAGTGATAAAAATACAAAAATATGAAAATTTAAGAAATTTCGTTGTTTGACACGTTCTTAATGGTATCACTCGGAAATTGAAGCGTGTTACTAAAAAACTTTTAGAACCAAAGTTGTAGCAAATTTCATTCGTAACAATATTGCTCTGTTGCACTTATGCACTTAGATGCGTCAATAATGAGAAAAATACAGAAATATGAAAATTTAAGAAATTTCGTTGTTTGACAAGTTGTTAATGGTATATCACACTTCGAAAATGGAGCATGTTACTAAAAAACTTTTAGAACAAAAGTTGTAGCAAATTTCATTCTTAACAATATTGCTCTCTTGCGTTTTTGCTGTTAGATGTGTCACTAGTGAGAAAAATACAAAAATATGAAAATTTAAGAAATTTCGTTATTTGACACATTCTTAATAGTATCACTCGGAAATTGAAGCGTGTTACTAAAAAACTTTTAGAACAATAGATGTAGAAAATGTCATTCTTAACAATATTGCTCTCTTGCATTTTTGCTGTTAGATGCGTCAATAGTGAGAAAAATACAAAAATATGAAAATTTAAGAAATTTCGTTGTTTGACACTTTCTTAATGGTATCACTCGGAAATTGAAGCGTGTTACTAAAAAACTTTTAGAACAAAAGTAGTAGCAAATTACATTCTTAACAATATTGTTCTTTTGCATTTTTGCTCTTAGATGCGTCAATAGTGAGATAAATACAAAAATATTAAACTTTAAGAAATTTCGTTGTTTGACCAGTACTTAATGGTACCAAGTGGGAATTGGAGCATGTTACTAAAAAACTTTTAGAACAAAAGTTGTAACAAATTTCATTCTTGACAATATTGCTCTCTTGCACTTTTACTCTTAGATACGTCAATAGTGAGATAAATACAAAAATATGAAAATTTAAGAAATTCCGTTGTTTGACACGTTCTTAATGGTATCACTCGGAAATTGAAGCGTCTTACTAAAAAACTTTTACAACAAAAGTTGTAGCAAATTTCATTCTTAACAATATTGCTCTCTTGCACTTTTGCTTTTAGATGCGTCAATAGTGAGATAAATACAAAAATATGAAAATTTAAGAAATTTCGTTGTTTGACATGTTCTTAATGGTGCCATTTGGGAATTGGAATATTTTACAAAAAAATTGTTAGAATAAAAGTTGTACCAAATTACATTTTTAACAATATTGCTCTCTTACACTTTTGCTCTTAGATGTGTCAATAGTGAGAAAAATACAAAAATATGAAAATTTAAGAAATTTCGTTATTTGACACGTTCTTAATGGTATCACTCGGAAATTGAAGTGTGTTACTAAAAAACTTTTAGAACAAAGGTTGTAGCAAATTTCATTGTTAACAATATTGCTCTCTTGCATTTTTGCTCTTAGATGCGTCAATAATGAGAAAAATACAAAAATATGAAAATTTAAGAAATTTCGTTGTTTGCACGTTCTTAATGGTATCACTCGGAAATTGAAGCGTGTTACTAAAAAACTTTTAGAACAAAAGTTGTAGCAAATTTCATTCTTAACAATATTGTTTTCTTGCATTTTTGCTGTTCTCTTACGACAGTACGTTATGACGTGCAGATGCAACTTGTGTTAAAACCGATGTATCTTGATGGATTCCTGCTAATACATTTACTTCTGTGTTGCATGTTTACTTGGTTTGCAGAAGGTAGGTAAAGATCAAAATACTGTTCTGCAGCTTGTATTGCATTTTTATAACATGAAATGTAACACTCAATGATATCACGCTGTCATAACCAAACGTATCTATCAATTGTTTCCATAGCACACTACTGGAACTGTTTTCCAATTAATAGGATAAATGGCTATAATCTATTTATTAATAAAAATATCTATATCAAGTGGTATATCATTAGAATCGTTGAGAAAAGGCCTTTTTTATAATGTCATGGCTAACTATGGTTTCCGTTAGAAAAATTACAGTTTGTGTCATAACTCAAAAATTATTGCTTAAATAAAGAAATCAGTTAGACTGCGTTATTAAACATGTAATACCCTACAAATTTTTCTTTTACACATTTTTTCTAAAATCAATAATAACGGAGCCATAGGTATCTAATGATATAACAAAAAAATGGTTTTTTCGAAATATCTAGTCAGCCATGCATTTGATCCAATAAACAAAAAGCTCATTAAATTGAGTTCATAAAATTGCAATTCTTTCCCTATTTAATCGTCTCTCTATCTCCGCTAGTTTTCAATATCTCTATAATAAACATGAAAAAAAACTCACCCTGTATATATATTTGTATAAATTATATATATATTTATACCAATTATATATATATTTATATATATTATATATATTTATATAAATTATATATATATTTATGTATATTATACATATATTTATGTATATTATATATATTTTTATAAATTATATACAGTGTGACCCATTTGAACGCGGAGCACCCTCGTAAAATTTGTATTTATTATCCGATTTTGACAATTTTTTTTTAAATTGTAGACCGTAAAAAACTGTACCTTCGGACAAAGAGTCATATTTTTCTCAGAAAAACCAAGGCCTACTATTTCATTTTATAGGTGCTAAAAATCTAATAATCTATTTAACAAAAATCTATATACATAAATCTATTTTGCACCTAAAAAGTGAAATAGTAGGCCTTGGTTTCTTCAAAACAAATATGACTCTTTGCCCTAAGGTACAGTTTTTTACGGTCTACAATTCAAAAAAAAATTGTCGAAATCGGACAATAAATACAAATTTTACGAGGGTGCTCCGCTGTCAAATGGGTCACACTATATATTTATATAAATTATACAGGGTGAGTCAGAAAGAATGGGAAATCCGAATACCGGAGATACTAGACACCAAAATATGATGATTTAACGTAACATCTCTTATACAAATGTCAGTGGTTTTCGAGGCATAGGGTGTTGAAAGTTAAATTCTTATTTCGAAATNAAAAATACAAAAATATGAAAATTTAAGAAATTTCGTTGTTTGACACGTTCTTAATGGTATCACTCGGAAATTGAAGCGTGTTACTAAAAAACTTTTAGAACCAAAGTTGTAGCAAATTTCATTCTTAACAATATTGCTCTCTTACACTTTTGCTCTTAGATGCGTCAATAGTGAGAAAAATATAAAAATATGAAAATTTAAGAAATTTCGTTGTTTGACACGTTCTTAAGGGTATCACTCGGAAATTGGAGCATGTTACTAAAAAACTTATAGAACAATAGATGTAGCAAATTTCATTCTTAACAATATTGCTCTCTTACACTTTTGCTCTTAGATGCGTCAATGGTGAGAAAAATACAAAAATATGAAAATTTAAGAAATTTCGTTGTTTGCACGTTCTTAATGGTATCATTTGGAAATTGAAGCGTCTTACTAAAAAACTTTTAGAACAAAAGTTGTAGCAAATTTCATTCTTAACAATATTGTTTTCTTGCATTTTTGCTGTTCTCTTACGACAGTACGTTATGACGTGCAGATGCAACTTGTGTTAAAACCGATGTATCTTGATGGATTCCTGCTAATACANGTCAGAAAGAATGGGAAATCCGAATACCGGAGATACTAGACACCAAAATATGATGATTTAACGTAACATCTCTTATACAAATGTCAGTGGTTTTCGAGGAATAGGGTGTTGAAAGTTAAATTGTTTTTTCGAAATTTCTTGATAATTTTGAAAGTTTGTGTACTATTAACATAAAATGTGGTAGTTTTATGTTTTCGAGCACG